CCACCCGGCAGAGACAGAGACATGAGACTAAACTCAGCACTCTCCATCCGCTCCCCTCCGCTGTTCCGAAGGCCGGCGGGGAGCGCAGGTCCCCGGAGCCCCCGGAGCCCCGCGCGGACCGGCCGCTTACCGGCGGGAGGCGGCGAGCTGCAGGGCGCTGTAAGGGCAGAGGCGCAGGCAGGCCGTGAGGTTCCCCTTCCAGAGGGCCCGCACGCCCTCGGTGCGGCACAGGCTGCGCCCGGCGCCGAGCAGCCCCAGCCGGCAGTGCCAGGTGCCCACCTGCGCCAGCACCGTCAGCAGCTCCAGCGGCGCCGTCAGGCTGAGGCTCAGCGCACCCGCCAGCCCGGCGCAGCCCAGGCGCTGCAGGGCGGTGACCCGGCCGTCCCGGCGCAGGGTGGCCATGGCCCCTCCGGCCCCGCCGGAGCGGAGCGGAGCGCTCGGAGCGGCCGGCCCGGCCCGGCCCGGCGGGGCGCGGCCACAGCGAGGGCGGCGCCGCCCGCCTCTGCCGCCAGGGGGCGCTGTGGCGCGGGGCGCCTCACGCCCCGGGCGCGCGCTGTGGAGGCGGAAGGAAAACGCGGAGCGGATGTCTGGAGCGGAGCGGCCCTGCCCGCGGGTGAGCCCGGACTGTGACCCTACTCCTGTTTGCACCTGACTTCATGGATTCTTATATTATTATTGCCATTTATGTAGCCGGAAAAAAACCCTCGCAACAGTGACACAGCTAATTAAACGTATTTCCACAGGAAGAGAATGCACACCTTCCCCTTTACAATTCAATGTGTTTCTACAGAGAGCGAATGCAGCCACGGCACGGCCGCACAAAAACACCGCGTTCTGCTCCTGAAGCACTCTGTGTTGAGTGAACTGAGTAACTGAGTGAACATCATTAATAAGATTTACGAGGTCAATCAATTCAGGATTTCTTAACGTGCTGCCAGAGAAGAGAAAAAAGAGGTACAAGGAGGGGAGAGACGAAAGTGGAAAGGAGATACTAGTTGAGACCAGAATCTGTGGAATGAGGAGATAACAGCCAGTACGGAGGTAGTAGCAGAGATTTGTCCAAAACAGGATGTTCTGTTTCTTGTAATAAAAAACCCCAAACCAAGAAAACAACCCGCTCCCTCTCAAAAAAAACCGAAACCAAAAAACACAACTAACCAAAAAACTCCACTCAAACTCAAAGCTATATTCAGATCTTCTTACAGTGCATCCAACAGAACAATGTCACATGACTCTCAGTCTGCCTTTGGCAAGAATGCTTTGCTGCTGATCCAGTGGACTATTCCCAGATCAATCAAAGAGCTAAAAGATGTCTTTCTAGAATTGCATCTCTCTCCAGGAACTCAGCTATTTATGGTGTATTTTGTTGGTGAGAAGAAAGCATTTAACCACTAAGGAGGAGAAAAACAACAATAAATGGGTATAACTTGCTATACATTCATGGTACTTGGAAACAGAAGATTTCAAACATTACTTCAAGAATTCAAAAAAAAGGGTGATATTTCTTCCAAGGTTTTTCTTTTGTTGCTTATCTGCACAAGACAAACCTCAACTTAAGATTTTTGTTGAGCACAGATATTTTCCATACAGTCTTCTCATTTCCATTACTCATTTTAGGGCAAGTTTTTACACACTTGTTCTGGCTGATAAAATGAATCACCAGATGACCTCAACCTCCCGAAGCAATCCTTAGAGAAGAAGGTGGTGGGTGAGAGTCTGTGTTGTTATTTTTTTCTCGTTTTCAAAGGGACCTGCCAAAATAAAACCAGTAATACATTAAAAATTGGAAGTGTTCAAGGTCAGGTTGGATAGAGCTTGGAGCAACCTGATTTAGTGAAAAGTGTCTGTGCCTATGGCA